AACATTAACAATCAAGTTTTACGATTTATAATTTAATACTAACATTTGATTCTCTTAAATAATCCATATAAATATTAGCATTAAATAAAATGTGATGTATTTGAAAACTGTAAGACATTTAATATGATAATGAACGTATAGATTATAGACAATTTTATTGTAAATGTAAACATGTGGCTAAGTACAAATGATTATCAAATTATTGATGAATGTCAGCAAGTGATGTTAAAACTTTTTATGATCCATAATTGTTTAAATGATCTGTTTCAACTTGACTTCACAGGATTAACAGTAAAAATAATAATAAAATTTGACACAATATATATTTTAAGACAACACTTGAATTAAGTTTACGTAAGAGAGAACAGCAGTATATCGAAAACGTTTGCTGTCAATCAGTCATACGCAAAGTAGAACCTGGGATACGTGTGTATCGGCTCAAGTTGTCACATCCCACTGATGTAGTGGGATGAAATTGTTAGGGTAAAACTCAGAGTATTAGAGGTAGTAATGTAAAACACGACAATTTCAGAAGGAACTTATTTTTGTGAGTTGTAAAGTATTCATAAAATACATTATGCATAGCCTTCAATCTTCCCTTTGCATCTTTTGGTGTGTTCTGCCATCTAAACTATCTTCTCGTCTGGTCTACAGGTATTCTGCCAACACTACTTTCTGTGCACTAAAACTCCTCACTCCATCTGATAGAGATAACTTCCATGTCACATTCTGATACACACTACTTACAAACAATCTAGTGAGTAGCGTCCACTACAGTAGCACTAATAGTGATAGTAGAAAAGATTAAGCATAGAAGATAAGATACGAGAAAATATGAATCAACTTTTGGTGCATAAAATGTCTGTTAATGAAATGAATTTGTCTTTCAGAAACTTTCCCGAGAGCTGATTTATTAGAATTGAATCGTATGCACACAAACTTTGAAATGATGACGAAGATTCGTAGCTCTATTGAATGCTTTCGATAGTGTTGAATTTTTTTAACCGAACGGTTTATTTCTGCTTGAAGCACACCTTGACGATAACGTATTCAGAAAAACAACCAAAGCTTTACAAACAAACCATTCAGTCGTGGTAATCGGTGTTCAAGCATACGCAACACGTGGCCAAACCATCTCAGTCGATGAAGATTTACAACCCAATCAACTGATTTACCATCATTACCTAATACCCTGCGTCTAACCTCACTATTACTTACCCGGTGATCCCAGCGGATGCGAGCAATATTTCTAAGGCATCTGTGGTGAAATAATAGTAGCACGAGAACATATGGTATTTGGTATAAAACTGTGTAAAGAAATGGATGAGTGTGTACCTGAATAAGAGCCAAATGTTTTGTATAGCTCGAGATTTTCCCAACTGAAGAAAGCGTCAAAGCGTTCAAGAATGGAACTCAGTAGTTAGAAATTGAATGCATAAACGGAGAGTTACTATTTTTAGTTTCATAAATTCCATGAAAATGGTAAAAACTTATTTTGTCGAACTATTTACACTGAGGCAAGTCAGTAATTTTGTCATCACAGATCCTATAAATAGACAAACTATCAGAAAAGGTATATCAGACTTGAAGCTTATTTTTGCAAACATCGTATTAATGGATAATAACTATAACTATTGTATAATGAAGCATGAATAATATGGTGTGATATAACTACTGATCAACTGGCATGATGCACAACTTCGCATAACAGAAAGCTATTTCAATCACAAGTCATTTATAACAATGTAGAAGGAAGTCAACAAAAGAATGTAGACAAAAAATAGATACGTGATGAGAAGACGTTAAGGTTTTGGCAAAAACACTGGTAGAAAATAGATATTACATTCCTACAATAATTCAGTTAGCAAACAGAGGCTTTTCAATACTGAATTCATTTCAAAATATATACATATATAGACAAATCTGAAATTTACACTGGCCTTTATCTAGTAAAATTCATTTTCTATTTTTGTAGTGTAGAATAAAACAAGTTAAAAGATTTATGCCGAATTAGTTGCATGCTTGGTACATTCATATATACACACACAATCATTCATATACACAACATACTGATTTATCATCGATAATAACATCACTCACCCATCATGATTGAATTAATTTTCCCCTTAATTTGAACTGTGCATTCATTACATTTATGAATACAAACTGTTTGTTTTGTTTCGGTACTAACAATTTGTAAATTTCCGGCAGACTGGAAATTTTCCTAGAAAATAAAATGATAACCACAAAAAGTATAAAACTTATTAGTATCACTTCCTAATAATAAGTATAAAAAAATTCGTAGTTACAAAGTGGGTTCAATGAACCAATTATTCTTAAACAGATAGGCAATTTGTAAAGATTGCTTAGTTTGAAAGCTACCTTACGTCATAGTTTAATATGAACTAGAGAGTCCCTGAAAATCATGAAGTACTAAACGATTAATCTATGGTTTGAGACGTTGTACCAGTGAGTCGAATGCAGTTTAACTATATAGATAGAGAAACAGATATCATCAATGGTGTTGTATGATGGTCGCGCATTATAGCAAACTGACTAATTATGGATCATCAATGGATTCTAACTCCCTATTCTATAGATATTATGTACGATACGACAATCTGGCTGTCCTGACTTTGATCTTATTTTGGGACTTCTGTGCACACTACTGATGATAAATCTCAATCTAGAACAAAACAGTTATTCAGATCTCCTTAATATCAACCCGTGACGTAAACTGACTTCAATATTAAGTAATAAACACATAGTTTGGCACAAGTTACGTATTTAAAAACCATTCAACGTACTTTTATTTAAAAATAGTATCGTTATTCGTTATTAGTTTACAGTTTGTTATGCAATATTTAATTGATTACTATCTCTACATACTATCACTAAAGTTGTAATAAAAGTATATATCAACATTTATATATCTCATGCACTGCAAGTTTACTTATATTTGAAATATTCTCAGCGATTGAAATCTAACTTCTTCAGAAGTCCAGACAAGTTAGCTGGACGAAACGTTGGAATTAGTTAAATTTCAATCGCTGAGAATATTTCTAATATAATTTTCACATATAATGACTTCTCTATACTCGGCGCTCAATTACTGTCAAACTACTCGTTCTAATCTTGACGAATATTCGTATAAATTTACTTATATTTGTATAAAAACGAATTTGTGAGACCCAAGAATACTTTCCAACTATTAACAGAAAAGTACGTAGAAGTGTTTCAATATGCAATCTTGTGGTTAGAAGTAGGGAGTGTAGTGTATGAAACAGCAACTCAATACTTCTTTAACAGGTTAAATACTAAGGCTAATCGCTGTGTGCTGATTCAATTAAGGTTGGAAAGTAATCTATACTGATACACCCTTGATGGTTCTAAATAAAGCCATATGATTGTATGAGTGAATTGTTGAGTCCTTAAGAAAAAATAGCCTGGTTATAATCAAATGTTAATGACTATTCAACTAAGAATGAAGGTCGCTTCGCAAACTTTCGACCCATTAATTATAAGAGTACCGCACTTAGTAAAAAAGAATTTAGATTTTAGATAATTCTATTTCTCGACAACGGTACTGAAATGGATCTTTATGAAAACTTGTTACTTTAAGAAGTGTATCCTTAAGAATGATCTACACAATTGCCAGTTGTCTACTACAAATTTGTTAAATAGTGAATCTAAAAAACATGTGAATCATCTTTAGTTACATACAGGGTTACTTTAGTTATTGTGACATGAGGGAGATATTCTAAAACAGACACGTATATATATTCTTTGCTGTTCCCTATCAGTCAGTGATAGGCAACATAGAACCTGACAGAAATGTGGATTAGCCTAAGTCCCGACAACACGTCAGAACAGCGAAATTAAATTATCGCAATGAATACAAAAGTAGTATCAGTGATAGTAAAAAAAATTAGGCAGACAAGTTATAATTTGAGAATGAGTGAATTTGAGGGATGAATAATAAAAAATAATTTTGAATCTTAAGGTTTAAGGGAATACAAGAAGTGAATGCAGTTGGCCTATAATGACCAAACCTGATCTACATCATCCAACATTTGGTTGCGATAATTGTGTAGACTCCAACCAAGTAGTATTCATTTACCAACATGCTTCTTATATACCAACACTCAGTGACTTATTGGACTTATGAAATGTCTTGGTTTAGGGGGTTACTTGCTTTCTTTCCAAACTGTTTCTACGCCAACAAACTCTGAGTGAGAACGTTACATATACCGTATTTCACATCAAAAAGTAGGTAAGCCATCGGTGAAACCATATCAAACAGTACACTGTCCACTTCGAAAAGCCAAATAACCAATAGGCTATTAAGGTACTATCACTTCATAGAAGTAAAAATTTATGGTTCCCATACGTGACAGGTGGAAGTTCGAAACTGAGTTTAAAAAGTATAAAATAAGATACAGCGAACGAAACATAAATGTCATTGTAAAAAAGAAAGATACGAAATAGACTGTATATATATATATATATATATATATATATATATATATATATATATATATATATATATATATCCTTAAGAAATACAAACCTACAAAATCGACAAAATGTCAAATAGTGAAGAAACATTTGGATGGCTATATGCATGAATTATCTTCATATACCGTACACACCATCTAACGAGTATAAACATTGAATTGAAAAACAAATTCGAACTGAACTACATGAAATAATATCATCAGGCTAAAAATGATCACAAATAATAGTCATTAGTATGAATGTTTTAAATACTAATGCTTTCTTATATTCCAACAGAAAATAATAATAGACTGTCAGAAAATAACCAAAAATAGATAGACAACTATTTCTACAAAGTTGGACAGTGAATAAAGGTGCAAAGTGATTTTATCCATGCAATTACATACACTAAACGTGTACAAGTATAGATAAATACACGAACAGCCATTCAGTTTCAAAGTGGTATACGTGAAAAATTCTATTTTGAAGAAATCAATAATTAAAATCAATCAAGGGGTAGATTTTCAACAGTCCAATGGACACTTATAATTAGTGAAAATTAATTTATGGTGTATGAAATAAAATTAACCAAGTCACATTTTTAAAAAAATTATCAGCAGATAGGCTAAAGTATTCAGATCAACAATGAAATTGTCTTTTTGATAGTTAAATTTCTTTACGAACTAGACATTCGTCGGAGAGTCATTCGGAATCACAAAACACCGGACAGCTAGCCTTACTTTGGGAATCCTTAACAGTAGGTATCTAGGAGGAATATAGGATGGAATCCAGGATGTTTAAGTATCGTAGTGAACACGATGTCCATTGTTTTTGGTTGGTAACACTCTCACATCCGACTCGATTGAACTCCACTAGTCACGGAAGATGGTCATGCAATATTGTGGATCGATTGAAGCTAGACGTTAACCCCATTGAGTGTTGGCTCAGTGGTCTAGAGGTTAAGCGTTCATGCGCGAGACAGAGGGTGCTGGGTTGTGGACATGCACTGCTGAGGAGTCACACAATACGACGAAACGACCATTCAATACTTATAAGTTTTCAATGGTGGACTAACATGAAACTCAACTATCTCCACAATCTTATACAGATGAATATTTATTATGTGAGGATTACTATTATTACACTAAACATTAATAGATGAGGTGATATTTAAATTAGTGTTCTGCTAATTTTTAGTTAACAAATTACAATGCAAAAACACGTCTATACTTGATCGAATCTCCTGTAATAACGGCATAAGTGTTCATATCTTTTCATTTTTCCGGTGAGAAATTATCGTTTCTTGAATACAAATACTGACAAGTGTATTATATACGTCTCTACTTGTTTTTTTTTCACAAATAAACACTTTAAATATTGATTTCCTTAGAATATTTGTATCTTAAAAATGAGGACAACAATACTAGTATAGATGAAACAATTCAGATTATTATTATTATTATTTCTCATGAACCCTAATAATATCAGACAACAAAAGGTTATATGTGCTACGTCCAAATATGTAAATAACTGACTGACCACTCATGATTAATGTCTAATTTTGACAAATGTAAACCTCGTTTGCATACTAAGTCAAATATTTTGACTCTAGTTGGTGTGTAAGCTCTTCGAGCTCTTACTACATGGTACTAAAAGTTAGTATATTATTCCATATAATGAGGTTTCAACGGTTAGAGAATTTTACAACACTACATTTTGATAATGAGATTAATCACACTGAAAAGGATTTAAGTACAAAACATCAAAAAGATAACATAAAATTTTTAACAAATAAAACGTACTACAGTCCATCTGTTACCCCTTAGTTCCAAACATCCAGCCCCCGACGGCTCTTTCTCAGATGGTGGTCGGACAGTGGGATTATTCGATGATGAATTCACTTGAGTTCGTGATGTATGGATAACAGGTCCTTCACGAAGTTGGGGATTTTTATGTGTTTTCATATCGTCAGTCACTTTGCGCAGATTAGATGTTACCGCTGTTCCACGATTCAGATCAGCGAATAAATTAGACTGTGTTGCGTTATCGTTTGCTTGCTAATTTATAATTAAACAGAGAAATATTAATGATAACCTATCCTGAGTTATAAGTTTATGAGTATGGAAAAAATTATTAACTAACGACATAGAGCACATCAATAATTACCAAATCCAATCGTCTTGATAGATTTATACACGAAATAAACGATATCTTAGAAAATTTATCGTAAGACTACTTGAAATATGCATAAACATAAACATATATAGTCTAGTCTATAAGCATGAAGCCAACCACATATTTGAATAAGAGACAAACACACAATTTAATTAAGTTTTGAGCCAGTGATCGTAAAAGGAACAATGACTCACTAAATACTAACGTGTTTCTAGACCTGATAAACTGTATAACCTGGAAGGCAGACCTGATTGTATTTAGAAGCTTTGTTTAAAAGTAAATGATCACTATATTTTGGAACATAACCAATTAAGTTCATTCTTTTGACAAATCTGCGTTAATTATAAAAGAAGTAATCAAAAGTATACACTCAATGCTATGTTGTCCTATAGGGTGTTTATGTAGTTATTAGCAGGATGTGAGATACTGAAACTCAGGCTACAGATACACGAGCTAAACGAGTGAGAAGAAAGCATATATTTACTGGCTAAATTGAAATGTATGTGTACTCATATATATATATATATATATATATATATATATATATATATATATATATATATATATATATATATATGAAGCTTTCTTCTCACTCGTTTAGGTTGTGTATCTGAAGACTGGGTATCAGTATCGAATATCTTATCATTCTTGAGAAATGAAAGTCGTTTTACGGACAATCAATCACGTGCACTTGTCATTTGACCAGTTAACTATAAGTAATTTTATTTCATTACCTACTTTAAATACACTTAGCAGGATATATGAAACACAGTAAAGCAACAATTAAGGTATTAGGATTGTTTTTGATTGAGATCATGAAGTGACTGATGTTAGACCACCGTTGGAAACCTGGAAGCACTGGACGGCCGTTCCGTCCTATTGTGGGACTCCTCAGCAGTGCACATCCACGATCCCGCCTGCGGGATCCGGACCCAGGGCCTCCAGTTTCGCGCGCGAACGCTTAACCTACTGGACCACTGAGCCGGAATTCGATGGTGTTAGTGTCTAACATCAAACAACAAATGTTAAGAAGACTATAGAGCATCATCCTCTAAAATATGGTCTGTAACAAGCTATGTAACCCAATTTGACTGAACCTATCCAAAACAAGTAACATTCCCACTAGATTTATATTAATGTATTTAGGTGATAATGACGGTGATACTAACTTCATAAATCTTTGGTGTTAGAACGGGAACTACAGCAATAAAGATATAATTAAATCTTATAAGTCAGAATAACTGCTGGAAAGTATTTGATAGGTATATCCTTTCAATTACGATGATTTCAAAATGAAATGAATGCAACATTTTATGAATAGATAATTGATACACATAAATACACAACACTTCGATCCAATACGCGATATGAAGTTGCAAAAGGTAGTGACAAAATAAATGGATAGTTACAATTGGCTGACAACTATATTAGCATATCATAAGAGAAACAGAACGAGTAATGTGGCCAAGTCTAACGGTTTAAATGAATGGACGACCGAATCATTGATGAGAATCATGAATGTTTAAAATCCAAAGATTCTAAAATCTACTGAACAAAATATGTATTAAACTAATTTATAATGAACACATTTCCATGGAACAAAAAGATCATCGTATTCACACACACACACCAATGACATTGCAGCTAAATGAGAAGCTGTAAGTACAGGGGGTGATTGTGCAGAACAATTGGAATTAACTTCACGAGTAGGCGAAGACTTAGACAGCTTCGATGCTACAGCTGGTTTACCACGAGCATTCCAAACCAAACCAGTGGTATGATGCTTGTTAACATAAACTTGTAATGCAGTCCAAATAGACATTAAAGATTTTTTCCAAGCACGATGAATTGTGTCGCTACAGTAAATAACAGAAAATATTTATGGTCATTTTTCATGAACAAATGAAGGAGGTTAATAAATTAAATAAGAAATCTTCAATATCAATATCTTTAAAAACAAATCACATAACCATGGATTATCTCAAATAAATTCTAAAACCTGTTGAATTTGTTCAACAATACATTTGATTTTCAGCGAGATTAGTATGAGCTCTTATGGACATCTGACTTTTAATAATACGTGATTACCGCACTTTGATCTTATCGTAAAATGTCTTTTAATTGATTTCTCACGGATTTGAACAGTTGTATAGCGTAGTAGTAACTGTAACGTGTTAAATTGCTTCAAGTGATTGTTGAAGAAAACGAGAGATGAACCTTCAGGTCTTAAAGTTCTCTTCGCAGAAGAAATTATAGCCCAAAGATAATAAGAGTAATCCGTCACAACTTTGGGCTCTGTATAAAAAAATCCAACACAACCATACTCAATATATATTGTCAAAATATTTAATCACTTTCACTTTTAAAATCTTGAATTTCGCTAACAGACTGACTATAGTTCCGCTGATCTAAGCCAGCCTTGTCATCAACAACTATGCTAAATATGCAAGACACCTTAGATGGCGTATGTAAAATAAATCCAACACATTGAAACCAGATTGACGTATGTAAAAGCTGGTTGAGTCACTGGATTTTTATTAGCTACGAGTTTAATAAAATTTAAGAATTGTGTAAATACCACGAGGATCAATAAACTCACTGAAATTTGGACGTAAACAATAAGAAAGAATCCAACAAGCCATCCCCTCGGTTTTGTAGAAAAACCAGATATGATTTAACGAAGTAGATCCATCTAAATGTGACTATTATCCGTAAGAAACAACAATGTATGTGTTAGGGATGCTGAGGAATATACCAATCATTATCATGTTAAGTCTAATGATGTCCTTGGACTCTAAACGGGCATTCCCTATTGGCCATTATTTATTTCACTCGTTAAATATTGTACAGATGTTGTTTTCTATTTTTATGGAACGATGTGGTCTGTTTCGTTGGTATATAAACAGAGTATGTTTGAAATATAACGATTCATAACTCAGAGGCTGTGACTTGCGTTCTAGACTCAACTGGCTGGGCTAGACAGGGAAGCGCGACCAATCGGGACTCTAGCTCGTCCTTACTTGTTTTACGTGTCACTGATTCGATCGATAAATACGCTGCGCATCTAACCGTGCAATCCAGCCGTTACAACAGTATGTCATAATAAAAGCCACACATGTTCATCATATCTAACCGTGTTAATTATAGCATTGTACAAGGAACAGATTAACTTCATTATGAATCGATTACAAGGTGCAATTTAATTACTGGGGCCAGAACTCTCTCCAATAAGCTTCAAAAATAACTGTGATATTAGTGGAAAGATTACATGAAAACGTTCGTGGCAAAATATATATGACATTCGGAATCTTTAAATTGATCAGTGTGTGTTCTATGGTTTAAAACAACACTTCGAAAGTCACCGAATGATATTCATGAAGTAGAATGAAGGGAATACTAGTTATCAGTAACGCTACGGCTGAGCAACATGCTGCTTTTCATTAAACATTACAACACACCGTTGGTCTTCATTAGTTCGATTGGCAACCAACCCGTTTCTTATCAGTTGGTGTTAGAAATCTTCCCAGGAATATAGTCTATCGAAACCATCAGAACGCAAATTAATTAGGTACATATATATATTTATAAACATATATAGCAGTAAACTCTTATTATAATCCTCTTCGCAATATAACAAATGGTGAGTTTATTTATAAACTGCTTAATAAATAACTAACTTGTTTTTGTATTCCATAAGAACACGATTCGTAAAGAATTCACCGGCTTCTTGCATGGTTTTAACGTACGTCGATGGTGCAACAGTCTGAATAGTTTAAAGGCTTAAAAACAAAACTTACATCACTCAGCCAGCCTAGAGCTGTAACAGACTCAGCCACAGCTGAAAGATGGTTAAAAAAGTTACTGCTTCGATTATTATCCTTAAATTTCTATAAAGGAAAACAATTTAACGAAGTACTAACAAATTACGATAACTTCTTCTATTAGGTTTCCTAATGGTGTTATAATAAGCTTAAGTTCAGAGTCAGAAGGTTTTGAGCATTCAGCTGCCAATTTGATTATTCCTTCTTGCATCAAAAAACATTGTTTAACCATGGAGGCCTTTTTAAAAATAATCCCGTGGAAGTGATTTAATACAGAATCAAACCTACGTGATTTCCAACAATATCTCCAATTTCGAAACTATTACGTACGTATTCCGATAAAGGGCCAGTGACTATTTCATGAAATTCCTTGATTGATGAAGGATTTCCACTTTCTTGAGATAAAGGAATAATTATGAAAATCTTATTTACCCGAAGATATTTTAATTGGTGATGTCCGATACATATTGTTAACGACAGCTGCTTCAAGAAGAATAGTTACTTTTTCTAATCGACAAAGTAGAGAATCAAGTCTTTCCATACCTATAAGTAAACCAAAGCAAATGAAGGCCGGACATAAAACGGCTATTCTGAATCTAGAAATAAAAACGACGAAATTAACTGCATCCCAGAGTTGATGCTCGCCCAGGGACTCGGACCCAGCACCGTCCGCTTCAAACGCCAACGCGTTATTCACTTAGCTACTGAGTCCCGATAACCACCAAGTACATGCAACTGACGAGTTCCAAATAGGACGAAACGTGCAACTCAAATTCCACTACTAGCCACCATATAACTTCGTTTATAATGCTTGTGGCTCAAGGCAATATCGAAGTAATCCGCGCATGATGCACATATGACAGTAAGAAACTGTTCAATTGTAGTCCTAAACATCAATGTGAAGATTCAAACAAACAATACAAGCATGCCAAACAGGCTGTTCAACCACTATATTTCCATCACAACAATACCTAACTTAAAGTCTTCACCAACTTGTACGACTCGGGTCGGCGGGTAGTGATTTCATCTTATTCATAAAATACAGCCACACAACCAACTCAGATTGATACTCGTCACTAAGATTTTAGTTGTATGAGAACTAATCAAGTCAACCACACCCAAAAAGTACTCGTCCCACTACCTCATATACACAAATTCGATCACTCAATATTTCATCAAAAATATTAAGGTAACGTAGATCCCAAGCAACCTAGTAAAAGATACCTAAGGCTCAATTAGCTCGAAATATGGAGTTTGCACAACAAAGTTTTGATTAACTGAAATTTATGCTGTCTGTTTGTTACCTTACAGTAACCACATATCGTCCGTAAAACCAGAACTTTCTTGCAATGGTAGATATTTATTGTGACACCTGTTACAAACTTGGACCGATGCATATGTGTGCGTGGTCCTACGTCGTAGTTAACTGACGCTTTATACGAGCAATTACGGTGTTATCCATGGTAAATCTAATGATACAACTTCACTCTTTGTTCATAACCGTGAGAACAAATATGTGAACATCTATTTCATCCATACCTGAGACAATCTATAAAACTATGAACGAAGAACATTATTTTAAGGTAGAAATTCGTAGTGTGAACATGATTTCGACTAATCTAACCAAAAATCAATGGTTAAACAACTGACAGGATGTTGATCGACTGTAAATCCGAAATGACGCCATCTTACGGAGTGATCACTCACAAGACTGAATCCAACAAATAATTAAGTCCATCGACAGTCTGATAATCCAACCATAAAAAAGACTAGGTGACAACCCATGTAATTAATTGGTATCACAAAATAGTTGTGTTTAGTAAGATATCATCCTCGTCAGTCTAGCAAAGAACTACTTTGTGAGGATTAATGATACTGTATTCTGAAAACTGGAGATCGGTGTGTGTCTTAATTGTACTTTTGATAGCTTTGGGAGCTATTTTCAGCGCAAAATTCTAGAGATTATTCAGCGAGCTAGAGCATAAGACTGGTTTTTTAACACTAAACATTCTCCTTGAAAATCTACAAACCGACTAGACTAGCGTAGCAGAAGATGTACGAAGTTTAAGGAAAACTTAATACTTACAAAGGCATTTCCGTCACAGTCTCACTAAGTCAACTGTAGTTATACGTTAAAAGCGAGGGTCAGTGTCAGATAACAATTAACAACAAGTACTGTGGTCCTCAAAACGACTAAAGTCTTCCAACAATTCAGTGATAGAAGCTATTCTGTGGATAGTAGGAATTCAAGGTGGATTGTGTTATGTTGTAATAGTAGTACTAAGGTTACTCCACTTAACGAGATGCAGTATAATTAGTCTAAACACGTGAGTTGGGGGATTCGTACGATATAGAGCACCATACATGTAATTTTCGGAGAATTTCGGCTAGTCGTAACTTGGAACGAAACTCCAGAAATAAACTATCTGGTTTCGGTTTTTGACCTTAAGAGAATGTCCTACCAAATGATCAGTCCTAGGTAAAAGTAATAACGGACTTCTTCGAATTTTTGAAAAACCAATTAAAATGCTTCGAGAATATCCAGGATGGAAAGATACGCTGTTACACTGTCAAAAATAATTGTTAAAACTAAACGGTCGTCTAGTGGTACTTCGAAGTACCACTATTACTGATGTAATGAATCAAATGACAGAAAGACGTTAGATGAATATTTATACTACAAAATATTAACCACATACTTTACCATTTTTAAAACGCTCATCGACACCCTTCATGCAATTTTCACAGCAAAAATACATCACTTACACCAAAGGCTTCAGGCCTTCGTAACGCAATTATCACACACCGCGGGCTAAGGCATACGAATAGAGCACCAAATAACCAAATGGTTCAAATGGTTATGGAAGGAATAGAAGAAGCTATCGCTTAACGAGATTCTGTATCTAGTATCAGTGTATCACTGGTGCTTGTGTTTCGGAACATAGGTGTCGTTGAAGATACAAAATAATAGAGGGTTGATAAATCATGGTGAAATACTTCCCTTAGTCCCTAAAAATATCATACGTTTCCCTTCAAAGGACTTCTGAGAAGCCGCTTAACCACCCAACTCATCAGCGAATTCCAGAATTTTACTGCTCGTATGTAGTAAAAGATATGCATATAGTCCTTCCCACCATGTCTCCGATTTCTGGGTGTTATCCCTATAGTTTGTGTTGGAACTGAGCTTGTTTGGGTTCTTAAGGGGATACCAAGAAGTGTTTAAGGTGCTGTGAGTTATCTGAAGCCCACCTCTGTGACACCCATACTCAAACGGGTAAAGGTTCAGTGATTTGAGGAGCTCTTCATAAGGCTTGAATTTGAGTATCCGAACTGATTTTGTGGATCACCTTTAGATACATTCCAATTTATTCTCATTCTTTTGGAATACTATATTTTCCTACTCTAAATAAAGTCGAATTAAACTGATGATGATCAAGCGGGATGTTCTGCTGTCGAACTGGCTAAAAATGAGCTTCAGTGTTACTAGTTCAAGGTTTTTTCGAAATGTATTTTTGTCACACTTAGCGTAAGACTTTAGATCGTAGGGTATCAACACTCCTGGATCTTTTTAAACTTGGTATGGCTCTAGAGGATAGTTATCTACGCTGTATGAATAGTCTCCAACATGTTATAGATGGACTGCATTGCACTGTGAAGTACTAAGGGTAAGTCCATTGTAATCCGCCCGACTTTGAAGTAGGGTCAGATCCCTCTGAAGTGCCAGCTTAGTATCTCAGGTGCAAAATTCTCCCTGAAGTTTCACATCACAAGCGAAATGCGATTAGTTGGACGATACTTGCTAGGGAATGTCACATACATAAATTATAAAAAAGTTCGGGTACTAACCCCCAGAGGACCCCACTAAGACATTTCATGATCTGAGAAACAGCAAAATTGACACTTACCCTCAAAAGTCGATTGTTTGGGTACGAAGTGAGCCAACCAACTGACGGTGATCTGACACTTGAGCTTACTGATGAAACATATATGGTTGATCCTATCGAAAGCTTTTGAGAAGTCACGGTATATGACATCAACATTCATCTTGCGGCCAACGATGGTTGTCCACCGCCGTTAGCAGGTTGGCTATACAAAAGTGACTTTTTCTGAAACCATGTTTTTGCGGTAAAAAGAAGCTTATGGATGGTAAGTACTTGTAGTGGCATTGGACAATAGCCACACAATCCACAAAGCTGTGAACACGAGACTACTCAGGAAATAGATATTCAATATTTAACGCGGAGAAATACCTAACAATGGAGAAGACGCGAACAATGATTTGAATGGACTGGAGTTGATCGAGTCGCATGGCTCGGCCATGCAGGCGTGGCCTCCGCTGAATGTTACCTTATATCTTCTATTCATATTAAATATATTGTTCTTTCTCTAGCCTAACCTTGTTCTACATCATGTATTGGTAATTGATACGATACAGTGAGTTGGTGTAGTCGACGGTGTGACTTCCACGTAAGATCTTATAGATTAGGCAGTTATATCATGACAAATCTACAAATTTAGGATTAGGTCTATTATTAGAGCAGTACTAATATAATAGTAGACCATAGTTCTACATACTCACGTAGATCATCTTATACCAGGGAACCCATTATTCAAAGATTCACTGCTTTGGCCTCCTTTGATAATAGGTATAATGTGAGGCGACCGGCAATTTTCTGGTACCATTCCTTTTCTTAGCGAATGTGTGAACATCACGCATAGAGGTTTTGTCAAGACTGAAGCTCCTTCACTCAGTATAGCAGAATGAACCATATCCGAGCCAGGGAAAGTGTCCTTATCTAAATAATGTAGTTTCTGACACACCAAGTCAGCGCTCAGATTCACCTCTCTCTTATGGTCTTCATGCATTGGTTTCTTGTTTGTTTGAATTGCCTGAATGCGCTGTTGTTACCAGTTCGTTTGTGTTCCTCCCAGTAGTGCCCTTTGTGGCTTAGCAAACGAAAAGTAGAATTGTTGATGACTAGGTTGTTTTTTGTTTTCGAGGACCGTTGGTAGAACAGACTGCTTTGTAGCATATAAGGTCATGTGCAGTAAGAAATCCCAACGAGCGTCCACATCAAGTTGAGAATAAAATTTACAGTCCACTTTCTGTAGATTGGCCTGTTAAGCTGAAAAATTTAGCCGTTTGAAATTCCTGCGCCTGTTGCTGGTAGGATGTCCTAGCTCAGTTTACTTGATAAGATTGATAGTTATGGTGGTGTGATCACTTTTATCCAGGAAAGCCAAGACTAAGAGGTTGTCAATTATGAAATCTTCGTCTGTAAATAGGCAGTCTAGGTGTGACGGCGTTCGACTGTTTCCCCAGCGCCTTGCTAGCCTCACAGTTTCGAATAATCCCAGCTCCTCAATGAGTTTCGACGACCGAGTTATCTCCTGCAGTGGATATATGATCAGTGAAGCCGACTTTAGAAATATTCTAGTCACCTAGAATCAGGATATGACTATATGCGAGATGTGTAGAGCGAGAAACCCCCTTTCCAACATGCGACTGTCACAGCACCAGAAATAGGCTTCCGGTTGATGAAACCAACACCCCTTGATTAGTACGTAACCTCATTTGTTGTTTATCCACGAATCCATTTTGGTGATGCAATTTTTTCTATCCTCCTATAGACATACATTTTCCATATAACTGTATATACGAATGTACAGCTTAAGTAAATAATTTCGTCCAAAAGAAAATTTTATTCGCTGAATTCTCTTTTCTTTATTCAATAACGTGAATTATTGAAAGTTCTAGGTAAGGACATTAGAATCATTCAAATTAATAGGGTAGGGATAACCAAGTTTGGTATTATTTACTGCGAAATAAACAGTGGTTTTACACAGTGACTGGATGTGCCCAACTTTATCACATCTAAAGCATTTAGCATGAGAAAATGCACATGAATTACGTGGGTGAAATTAACCACAGGACAAACATTTGCCGAACTTGCGCTCACCATTGTGACCTGCTCTGCAATTGCTGAATGATTTGTTATCCGTATGACCTTGAGTAAGAATTGGATTGGGATAACCAAGTAATAAGGTAAATTTCTTGATGTCCTGGAAGTCAGTTTCATACACTGCTTCATAATTATTACATTCAGTCCTAATATCTCGAAAAAGCACTTCGGCATTTACGCATCTCTCCTTAGGTTTCGCATATTATTTCTTTCAATTGGTCGACCACGTACCTGGACATAAAGTTGATCACTGAGGTAGCACTTGGTGGCTTGTTTCTGCAATTCGAGGAGAAACTCTTTAACCTTTCAGTTTTTCTAACGTACCATTTTATAGAGTTTTGCTCATTCGCGGCATCAAAAATGTGCACATACTACACGATTTAGTTGTACCTCTACGGGTTTTATAAAGAAGTAAAATGAAGTTGTTTGAAAATACCAGAGTTTTTAGTTAGTTCTAGTCATTGCATGTCATGAAAAATCTCCAATTTTAGGATCAGGTCTAATATTAGAGCAATACTAAAAACGAAGTCGACCATAATTCCACATGAATACCTAGTCTCTAAGATTTTACGTGGAAGTCACATCACTGTTTACACTGAGTTGTCCTATCGTAAGAATCATCAATATGATGTTACCTACTTCTTGTGAACACATTTAGGCTGGAGACAGAACAATAATATTCAATGTGAATAAAAGAGATAATTCACACAAGAATGATCACGCCTGCAAGACTGAGCCATGACATCAAATTCAATCCAATTAATTCTTTCTGTCTTCGCTATAGTTGACTTTCTCTTCGTGTAAATTGTTGAATATGCATTTTCCCAGTTATCTCACCGACCACACCAACACATTTATTGGGCGATCATTGTAACCTTCAGATAATTCGAATGAAAAGAGTTAGATGAAAGATATACCATATTGCCTAAAAGGTAATGAATTCATTAATGTTATTTCAAAAGCTCAGCGTAACGTATTGCAAACAAAACTTCATGAGCATAGATTAGAGGCGCGTAATACAGTGTGAGTACATACGCCTTCGTA